CTTTACATTTATCCACATTAAATTTCATTTGCCATTTTGTTGGCCAATCACTTAGTTTTGTGAGATCTTTTTGAAGGTCTTCACAGTCTGCTTTGGTCTTAACTATCTTGAGCAGTTTAGTATCATCTGCAAACTTTGCCACCTCACTTTTACCCCTTTCTCCAGATCATTTATGAATAAGTTGAATAGGATTGGTCCTAGGACTGACCCTTGGGGGACACCACTTGTTACCCCTCTCCATTCTGAGAATTTACCATTTATTCCTACCCTTTGTTCCCTGTCTTTTAACCAGTTTTCAATCCATGAAAGGACCTTCCCTCTTATCCCATTACAACTTAATTTACGTAAGATTCTTTGGTGAGGAACCTTGTCAAAGGCTTTCTGGAAATCTAAGTACACTATGTCCACTGGATCCCCCTTGTCCACATGTTTGTTGACCCCTTCAAAGAACTCTAATAGATTAGTAAAACACGATTTCCCTTTACAGAAACCATGTTGACTTTTACCCAACAATGTTCTTCTATGTGTCTGACAATTTTATTCTTTATGATTGTTTCAACTAATTTGCCCGGTACTGACGTTAGACTTACCGGTCTGTAATTGCCTGGATGACCTCTAGAGCCCTTTTTAAATATTGGCGTTACATTAGCTATCTTCCAGTCATTGGGTACAGAAGCCGATTTAAAGGACAGGTTACAAACCATAGTTAATAGTTCCGCAACTTCACATTTGAGTTCTTTCAGAACTCTTGGGTGAATGCCATCTGGTCCCGGTGACTTGTTACTGTTAAGTTTATCAATTAATTCCAAAATCTCCTCTAGTGACACCTCAATCTGTGACAATTCCTCCGATTTGTCACCTACAAAAGCCGGCTCAGGTTTGGGAATCTCCCTAACAGCCTCAGCCGTGAAGACTGAAGCAAAGAATCCATTTAGTTTCTCCGCAATGACTTTATCGTCTTTAAGCGCTCCTTTTGTAGCTCGATTGTCCAGGGGCCCCACTGGTTGTTTAGCAGGCTTCCTGCTTCTGATGTATTTAAAAAACATTTTGTTATTACCTTTTGAGTTTTTGGCTAGCCATTCTTCAAACTCCTCTTTGGCTTTTCTTATTACATTTTTACACTTAATTAGGCAGTGTTTATGTTCCTTTCTATTTACCTCACTAGGATTTGACTTCCACTTTTTAAAAGATGCCTTTTTATCTCTCACTGCTTCTTTTACATGGTTGTTAAGCCATAGTGGCTCTTTTTTAGTTCTTTTACTGTGTTTTTTAATTTGGAGTATACATTTAAGTTGGGCCTCTATTATGGTGTCTTTGAAAAGCGTCCATGCAGCTTGCAGGGATTTCATTTTAGTCACTGTACCTTTTAATTTCTGTTTAACTAACCCCCTCATTTTTTCATAGTTCCCCTTTCTGAAATTAAATGCCACAGTGTTGGGCTGTTGAGGTGTTCTTCCCACCACAGGGATGTTAAATGTTATTATATTATGGTCACTATTTCCAAGCTGTCCTGTTATAGTTACCTCTTGGACCAGCTCCTGCGCTCCACTCAGGACTAAATCGAGAGTTGCCTCTCCCCTTGTGGGTTCCTGTACCAGCTGCTCCAAGAAGCAGTCATTTAAAGTATCGAGAAATTTTGTCTCTGCATTTTGTCCTGAGGTGACATGTTCCCAATCAATATGGGGATAATTGAAATCCCCTACTATTATTGAGTTCTTAATTTTGATAGCCTCTCTAATTTCCCTTAGCATTTCATCGTCACTATCACTGTCCTGGTCAGGTGGTCAATAATAGATCCCTAATGTTATATTCTTATTAGAGCATGAAATTACTATCCATAGAGATTCTATAGAACATGTGGATTCACTTAAGATTTTTACTTCATTTGATTCTACATTTTCTTTCACATATATTGCCACTCCATACTCCCCGCCCCCCCAGCCGCACGACCTGTTCTGTCCTTCCAATATATTTTGTACCCCGGAATGATTGTGTCCCCTTGGTTGTCCTCAGTCCACCAGGTTTCTGTGATGCCTATTATATCAATATCCTCCTTTATCACAAGGCACTCTAGTTCACCCATCTTATTATTTAGACTTCTAGCATTTATATACAAGCACTTTAAAAAATTGTCACTGTTTATTTGTCTGCCCTTTTCTGATGTGTCCGATTCTTTTTTATGTGAATGTTTCTCGTCTGATCTGGCCCCTAGATTACCCTACTCAATACTCAAAGCTGGAGGACATCCAGAAGGGCCTGCTACTGGGCTAAATGGAAACGTTTCACCTCATGAGCTCACCGCCATCACCACCAACTGAGTGCAATATCCATACCGATCATCCTTGATTACCACTTTAGGCTCAAAACGTTAGACTTTCCCCTCAGTTTTGTATAGGTCCAGCTGGTAGCACTTGCCCTGCTCCGTCCGCCTACCCGGCACTCCTGCTGGGGAGCGGGGTCGGGGCATGGGGGCTTGCCCCACTCTGCCTGCCCATGGGGAGCAGGGCAAGCCCCCATGCCCCAACCCCATTTCCCTGGCAGGAGTGCGGGGGTGACATCGGGGACTGCAGGCAGAAGGGGTGGGAGAGGACACCACTTGCTTTGGCCCAGGGCCCCACAAAAGCTTAATCCGCCTCTGGTGGCAATGCGGCATTCCATTCACACATTCATAGCCTACTACGCCATCACCCAAGAGCGGCTGCGGACGCTGTAGTGTGCCACACCGTGCTACAGATACTGCACTTCCACTTTATCCTTGCACCCAACTCCATGCTGATCACAGCTCTCTACTCCCCCATATTTGGAATACATATAGGGACCATCACTCAAAGAAGAAGAGGAGGTTACTTACCTGTATTCCACAACCTCCCTTCCACCCCTCTACTGCAGACTGGACAACTAAGCAGTATCAGGGTCACTGGAGAGGTGTTGATACACACAGCTTATTATAACCTTGTCTGGGAGCATGAGGGGATGCATGACACATGTGGGTCAACAGACACTGTTAAGAAAATCTTTCTGCACATGGCGCACATCCGCACGCACATTTGGAGTACAAAGAGGGACCACTCATCTCGAAGAACCTCCAGTTACAGATAAATAACCACCTCTTTCTTTGTTTAGGATAGACTTGTTTAACAACTTCTTGCTGACTTTTCAGTGCCGCCTTTCTTGATACTGTGTGTGTGTGTGTGTATCCATCACATTGGTATTGGACCACCTTGGCATCAATGGCCTGTTCAGCAGTCTATATATGGGCCTTGTACCACACTCACTCTTGTTGGCTTGTACAAACATCAGCAACGATGATTAGGTTTTTGGTCACTGAAATCACAGTGCCACATTTTGCATGGGAGAGGTCGGTAACATGTTTCTTATGCTGGAGTGCCATAGCAAACTGGAAAGGGTAGTTGTGCCACTAAAAGAGATGTATTCTCTTTCATCTTCTCCATTGGGATTCATCTCCTACTCATTCCCATTCCTCTTCCTGGGCATTATACTGGGATCCTGGGAGGGACGCCACAAGACCACTCTGTAATTAGGAAAACACATTAGTCTTGTTGGAAACATGCCCTCAGTATCCTCCTTTGTGGTGTTCAGTCCGCTATGCATATGCTTACCAGTCTTGGCTGTGCTGGGCATGGGTTATGTAGCCATATGTCTGCAAGCCACCATCCTCTGCCTCCTCCCGCCTCCTTCTTCCTGCTCCCCCCAACTGGTTAAATTGCCTTCACCTTATGGCAGGTTAGTTAGTGACCTAAGTCAGCTAGCGCAATCACCGAATCTAGAGACTAGAGGTGGAGCGAGGAAGATCAGTGTGCAGAGGTGGACGAGCAATTGATTCCAGCTCCAGTATCCTCCTCCTTTCCTGATGACACTATTAATCCATCCATGCCACCCACCAGATAATCTCAGAATCTTCCACAACCTTGTGAAATATATAGCTGAGACTCTTTACACAGTAGGTGATTCAAGAGAAGCCTAAAATTATTTGATATTCTGCACCACACTATGCCTGGAAATCTTGCAATGCTGATCAACAAGGAATTATTGGAGCCAGCTAAGGACTTGTGGCAGACCCTAGCCTCTGATATTGTCTACGTCTATAAGAGCTGATAGATGATACCAACTCCTTCCTAAGAGCTTTGAGGATTTCTACTCACATCAGGTGCCAGGATCTCTTGCAAGAAAAGTCTGAACAACAAGGATTTCCTTAGATGAAACCAAGGGACATGGACTCTCTAAAAAGCTTGACCTTTTCAGAAGGAAAGCCTGTTCTTCTATCAGTCTACAAACGCACATTGCCAACTATCAAATGTTCCTGGCTATCTGCACTGGGAAAAATGATCTGTCATCATTTGTTGTGTATTGTACTGGGTACTGTTAAATTATTGCTACTTTGCCTCCAAGATGTGACTGCATTTCAGTGGTGGGTGAAATGATTTTTTGGTTTGGGAATGAGCACATTATGTAGAATGGCCCTGATCCTTAGAAGCACTAAACACCTGCAACACACATTGACTTCAGTGGGAGTTGCAGGTGCTCTCCTACTCTAAGGATCAGGTCCAAGGTTTGTAAGGCTCCTGGGGATGAAATGTGCTATCCAACTTTTCAGTTAATTGATTAATGGAATTATTATTCAGCACTGGACATTGTGCTGTGTGTGTATATAATGCTGACTTTATCACGGTCTGTTGGCGAGACAGTTTAATGTAACTTTCCCCCCACAAGTGGCTAAAGTTGCTAAAGTTTCTCTTAAGTAATCAACAGATTTGCAACAGCTCAATGGAAAAAAAGTTTTTTTAGAGTGGTTTGTTATTTTTAATAACTTAAAATAAATAGATAGTCTGGGGCCACCTAGTGGTAAATAATGGGTAATAATTGCTAGAGGTCAGTTTGGGATATGGAACCTCAATGTAACAAAACCTTTTGAAAGAAATAAAACTAGCAGCCAGCTTGTGGAAATAAGACACATATATCTATTATTTTTTTAGCTACAAAAAGAAAGATGCAGATTTGTCCGTGGCTCAGAGTCGCATTAAGGATCTTGAAGCCCTGTTCCATAGAAGTGAAGCAGAACTCAGTACTGCTCTTAATGAGAAGCGCAGTTTGGAAGCAGAGGTTGCTGACCTGCGGGCCCAGCTTGCTAAGGTATGTAAATGAACATTTTAGAGTTTACCTACATACAAAGAAAGACTCTATCCTGTTGAATTTGTTATATTAGTTTACTGTTGTAATGTGTTGCACAATCATGCTAATATATCTACTTAGAGATTGATATGTGAAGTATAGAGATTAAATTTGCATGTGTGTGGCTCTTGCTCCATAGAACAACTCTGGTATGCAGATGCCTGTCTTTCTCAACTGGTTTATGAAACCCACAAATGTTTGTTCATGAGCAAGGGCAGCCTAACATTGTCTTGAGTAAAGCCCGGCATTTCAGCACTGCTTCAGCACCATCCTTTTACATCATCAAGTACATGCATAAATAATACCCAGGCTGTCCCAATGGAAAATATTTAAAGAATAGTCTACTCCATGTATAAAGTGTGGGGAGCTAACACTTCCCAGTTATGTTATCAGAAAGTACTGAGATAAACATGAACTGTAGTAGGTGATACCAGCATATGAAAGTTGTTTTAAATGTAGTCACTGGTATTCTTTTGGGAAACTCGTTAACGTGGGAACGGACAAATAGTTGGGAACACTTGGGAACAGGCAATTAAATTAAGGGCACTATGTAGAATTTCATAAATGGAGAACAAGGATGCCAGTTGAACTTAAATGCAGTTTTAAAATTTGGATTCTGAATTTCTCACTAGGCAGAAGATGGTCATGCTGTGGCTAAGAAGCAATTGGAAAAGGAGACATTGATGCGGGTGGACTTGGAGAATCGCTGCCAGAGCTTACAAGAGGACCTGGATTTCCGGAAGAACATATTTGAGGAGGTATGATCAATCCAACAGCTTAATCTTAACACAGAGTTTATGTAGCCTTTGCTCAAAGTGCTCTACAAACAATGACTAATCTAGTGAGTTAGGGAAATGATCATCATTGTCCCCATTTTATAAATAGAGAAACTGAGGCACAAAGCTATTAAATGACTTGCATAAAGTCACACGTTAAATCAGTGGCAGAGCTGGGGTAAGCACCCAGAACTACCTGGCTCTGCACTTCTAGTTATCTTGGCATATAAGATGGAATTCTCTCTATATCAGATTAAGGCACATCACAGTGAGTGGAAAGACATTTTTTCGTCGTTTGAGAGTCTCTCTTCTGTTTGCAGATGTAGGGTATTCCTGTAAGACAATTTGTAAAGTCGTTCTGAATTCCTGTTAGCCTTCTATGTATGTTGCTCATGCTTGCAAACATGTTGAAAGGTTAATTTAGGGCATCAAGAGCTCACAGTTCTCTGGAAAGAGAGAGAATGTCTGAGTGAAAACAATAAAATTCAAGAGCATCACATTTTAGGTCCTGTTATACTTCAGGGAAAGAAGATACATGTAGGTTTTTTACTGTTAATTCAAAGTCTTAAATAAATAGGGCTCATCCAGATTGAACTCTTAAGTGCACACCCATATGAATTCATTATTTTCACCTCGTGTCACTGGTTCACAGTGTACCCATTTTTACCAGAGTAATATATGAATCTCTACAGAGAGTGTCATCTACCAGTGGGTTTAATGTGTGTGTGTTGAGGGGAGAGGGTTTTGTGCTGCACTCGATCTGCTGTTAAAACTGATCCTGCTCTCTCTTATTTGGTTAATGCAGCACAGAATAACCCCTTATTTTAGAATCTCTTTGCGTTTTTTAAGTGAAGACAATTAATGTTTGAACATGTTTATAAATTAGCTCCTGTAGAAAGGGACCAGATAACTTTGTATCTGTTAAAACATTTAGCTCACCTTAACAGATCTAAAGTTCGTGTTTTTAACTGTGTTGGACTTTGTGATATGCTTTCAATGCCCTGGCAGCTAAATAACATAGAAATAATTAATTGTGGTGTAAAAGAAATTGATCATGTTGTTTACCCTAACTTGGGCCTTTGCCTGCATTTTTGTTTATGTAGGAAGTAAGAGAGACAAGGAAACGGCATGAGCACCGTTTAGTTGAGATAGACAGCAGTCACCAGCAGGAGTATGAATCCAAAATGGCCCAGGCCCTGCAGGATCTGCGCAATCAACATGATGAACAGGTCAAACTGTACAAAATGGAGCTGGAACAGACCTATCAGGCCAAGGTAGATATTACTGGTATCTTAGTGTTCTACTGGCTGCCTCACAATCAAAGGGAAAACTCTATCCTTACCTCAGGGAGCTTTCATGCTACTATGGAAGCACTCTGAGTGGCTTCATAGTTAAGGTAACACCAGGATTTTCTTTGTAACGGGACCTGTGCAATTTTCTAGTTCCATCTTGAATATTTTTTGAAAAACGTATCTAAGTACACTTGTTACTCTGGGTTTCTCTAAAAGGAGGCAAGGTCACAATAATGTGCCTTGCCCTTGAAGTGGAAGATGGGGAGGTTTATGATGGTTCTTAGTTCCTGGGGGAATTAATTCTGCATTCTTGGTCTGGCCTTCGAGAAAGCTCTGTCTCCTGCACAAACAAGCTTTATCCTTCTTGTAGGGAGTCTCACTATGTGAGGACCACAGTCTTCATCCCAGAGCTTTAGATAGTCTTTCAGATACCCTGGGCCCAGGCTGTTGAGCACCTTGAAGATAAGGCTTGAGACCTTGAACTTGATTCAGTGTTCTGTGGGAAGTCAGTATAGGGAGTGGATGACAGATTTGATGTTCTTGCAGAAGCCAGTGTTGCTGAGGTGTCACAGAGTTCTGTACTAGCTGGAATTTCCTAAAGGGTGATGGCATTAGACCCTGGTGCTCATATAGAACACCTACCAAATAAATGTATTAAAAATGCTCTTATCTATTAGAAACCCCGCCCCTGAGTAGTATAGTATAGTTCACAGTACTATTATTATAAACCAATGAACACATCTGTTGTAAATGGTGAAAGTGAATTAACATGAGATTCAAAATCACAGACAGTGGGAAATATAAATTAATCCCATGAGAACAATGGTATCAAACAGAGGGCCAGGTTAAGGTTGTCTGGATGGCAGATGAAGTTCAATATTGATAAATTAAAGTAATGCACATTGAAGGGAAAAAGGTAAACTACTCCTACACCTTACAGGATTCTAATTAACTGTATCAACTCCCACACCCAAAGAAGAGCTCTGTGTAAGCTTGAAAACTTGTTGCTCTCACCAACCGAAGTTGGTCTAATAAAAGATATTACCTCACCCACTTTTTCTCTCTAATATCCTGGGACCAACATGACTACAGCAACACTGCATGTATTAACTCAGCAATGCAACCTGGGCATCATTGTAGACAGCTCTATGAAGACTTGCTTGATAATCAGCTGTGGTCAAAAAAGCTAACAAAATGTTTGGATGTATAAGAAAAGGGATAGAGAATATATTATAATAGCATTATAAAAATCTGTACTGTCACCCCATCACAAAAAGGATAGTATGGAATTAAAGGGGGTTCAGACAAGGACATTGAAAATGATTAGAGAGATGGAAAAACTTTCAAATGAAGAGAGAATGAAAAAACATATTGTTTGCCTGGGGTGGAGGGAGGCTTGATAAAAGTATATAAAATAACTGGTCTGAGGTGGTGTATCAGGAGTTTCTGTTCTCCCTGTGTCATAACACAAGAACAAGGAGAGTTTCAATGAAATTAGAAGGGGTGATAAATTCATAATAGACTAAAAAAAAATACTTTTTCACGCGGCACTTCTTAGACTGTGAAACTCACTGCCTCAGGAAGTCCATTGAGACAAAAAATTTAGCAAGATTCAGAAAGGGATTGGACATTTGTAAAGATAACAAATATCCAGTGTTACAGTTAATGCTGACAAAAATTTTGGAAGGGTTAATAAATCTCATGTGTCAGGGCTACAACCAACCTCTGAACTGCTAGAGATCACCATGAGACCTAATGAGGGCTTTTACTCCTTCCTTTGAAGCATCTGGCACTGATGGACCTCCACTGGATTAGATGGATCTCAGTTCAGATATCAGTATTGTAGGATTTCCTGGTGCCTGTGGCAGGGCCCACTCACTCCTACCTCTGCTCAAGTCCACAAACCATTCAGAGACCTTTATGCTAGTAAAACACCCAGTGCAGTTTATTTACAATGTCGGTTCCCACCACCCTTGTACAATATATAGCCGTACTCCTACCATCTTAGGGAGCCCTCAGCTCCTGAGGCAAGCAGGGAAGAGCAGAGCCTTGGCCTAATGGCTTAATTAGCCTTCCAGCTCTCCTCCCCTCACCAGTTAGGCACAGCTCTTCTTAACCAGGTCTGTTCTGCAGTGTTTAATTGGAGCTGCAGTGACCAGAGTGCTGGCTCAGCTGTTGTTGCCCAGCATTCTGTCACAGTGCCGTTTTTATGGCAGTTTGGGAGTTATTCAGCCTGTCAGTACTGATTTTCCTGGCTGTTCAGGACTCTCAACCAGCTCCGGTGTCTAAAGTATCAATGTCGACTGTTCCTCAGATGCCCCATACGGTACCTTCAGGCCCACCCTTCAATGTGTATCTCAGATCAGTAGCAAGTAGGGGGAAACCAGCCATGATCTTACAGTACCTCCAACTCCAGGCTCTGAACCTGTCTCCCCAGTACCGATGGTGACAGCTCTCTCCTTGTGGGAGGATGACTTGTCATTGGATTCTGAGGTTCTTCTTCGAGTGCTTGCTCATATCGATTCCAATTAGGTGTGCGCGCGCTGCGTGCACGATCGTCGGAGAAATTTTCTACCCTAGCAACACCTGGTGTGTCGGCTGTGGAGCCCCCTGGAGTGGCGCCTTCATGGCGCTTGATATATACCCCAGTCGACCCAGCGCCCCCTCAGTTCCTTCTTACCGCCCCTGACGGTCGTTGGAACTGTGGAGCACGGCATAGCTGTTCTCCACTCTCCCTAGCTTAACCTGTTAATTCTTATAGATAGTTGTAGTTATAGTTGTAGTATATTCTTTAGATTAGTCGTTGTTAATAGTTCATTATTTTAAATAGTTGTAAATAGTTAGCGGGGGTTAAGGGGGCTATTTCTCCCCCCTTTTCCCCCGGCGCATAGCTGGGCTCATGCCCAAGGCTCCTGGCTTTAAGCCGTGCGCGTGCTGTGCTAAGCCTATGCCAACGGGAGATCCTCACGACTCGTGTCTGAAGTGCTTAGGAGAGTCTCACCAGACAGATAAGTGCAAAATCTGTAAGGCTTTCAGACCCAGGACCAAAAAGGAGCGGGACTTTAGACTCAAGCAGCTCCTCATGGAGGCGGCACTTAGCCCAGATCCTCCCTTGGCGCGCCAAGTTCCGGCACCGAGCGCCTCGGTGTGCAGCGCCCCTGCGGCACCTACCGGTACTACACCGCGAGCAGACGCGGATAAGGCCTCACGGCACCGTCCTCCCTCGGCACCGCGTCCGCCACAAGCGCCTTGGCGCCGTTCCCTGTCTCCGGGACATAAGAGACCCCGCAAGACACAGGAGGCCGCTGTCCTACAGGCACCGGCTCCCCCGGTACCGGTGGTAGAGCCGTGTCCGCCTCTAGAGCGCCAGAAGGCGCAAATATCTTCTACACCGTTGACTCCGGCACCGGGGGTAGGGCCGTTGAGTCCGGTGTGGACTGGCTCACCGCCTCGTTCGGTGGTGGAGCCCTGTCTCCCGTCTACTCCGGAGACCTTTGCGACGGCGAAAGACCTCATCGCTCTCACGGAACCGGCGCCGTCTCAACCCGCGGCACCGCCTGCTCTTCGGACCGTGCAATCCAGGGGCAAGCCTGCCCTGGTACACCCGCCGTCTCCGAGCGTGGACTCGCGGCACCGCTCCAGGTCTCGGAGCAGGTCCCGACGCCGCTCGCAGTCCCGGCGCCGACTTTCACCCCGGCACTGGTCGTACTCACGGCCTAGGTCTTCTTCACGGCACCGATCTACATCTCGGCACCGTCAGGACCATCGGTACCGATCGGAATCTAGACGTAGTTCTCGGCACCGGTACGAGCGCCGCTCCAGTTCGAGGGGCCGCTCCCTGCACCACGTCTACAGGCGGTCGTCTTCATCTCGGTCCAGATCTGGATCTCGGCACCGACATGGCCAGCGGCACCGATCTCGATCACGGTACCGCTCACCGGCACCGCGCAGGGACCGCTCGCCTACGGACGGGCACCGATCGGCACCGGACCGGACCGAGCCGATGCAGCCGCGTTCGGCACCGCCCTGGCCCTCGAGATCAGCGTTTCGCTCAGCTGACGGGGCTTCCCGATCAGCATACCCTCCTCAGGGTCAGGCCGCCGCTGACTTGGGTCACTGGCAGGAGGGGGCAGAGGACCCTGCGCAGGACCCTACGCATTGGTCTTTCTGGACCCCGTGGGCGTATCACCAGGCGCAAGGGGCTCCACCATCAGTCTCTCGCTCGGCACAATCCGAGCCCAGAGTCCCAGAGGTCACCATCTCCCGTCCTCCCCCAGGGCGCATGGAGGCTCCCGTGCCTACACCACCTCAGGCCCCAGACCCCAGGGCAGGAGATCCTCCGCTTCAGGGACCCTTAGAACCGGACCCTCATTTGGACCCCTTGCCCCCGGAGGCATCCTCCTCATCTTCCCCGGATGAGGCGGTGGCGGGCACAACAGCCTCAGGCCCGCCCCCAATAGATCTTCGTGCCCACCAAGACCTATTATGTAGGGTGGCACGTAAAATGGACCTCCAGGCGGAGGAGATAGTAGAGGTGCAGGACCCGGTGGTGAGCATCCTGTCGGCTGATGCCCCATCCCGGGTGGCATTACCACTGATTCGTACGATTCAGGCTAATGCCACTACCATATGGCAAACCCCTGCCTCCATTCCACCCACTGCCAGAGGGGTAGAGCGAAAGTACTTCGTCCCCTCCAAGGACCATGAATACTTATACATGCACCCTCCACCGTGTTCACTAGTCGTGTCCTCGGTGAACGCAAGAGAGCGTCACGGCCAGCAGGCGGCAGCGCCCAAATCGAAGGACGCTAAACGCTTCGATTTGTTCGGGCGTCAAGTGTACTCGGCGGGGGGGTCTGCAGCTCAGAGCCGCGAACCAACAGGTGCTCTTGAGCCGCTACAGTTACAACTCATGGAACTCCATGGGTAAATTCAAAGAGTTGGTTCCCCAGGACTCAAGAGAGGAGTTCGGGGCCTTAGTG